TCTTACACTGAGCTCGTCAGAAACTGCAGGTGCTGACACCCGGACTGGGCCGGACAGCTGCACTTCCTCTAACTTGCTTGCGTGTGGTTCGAAAACCGATAAAAAGTAGGCGACTCTTCCCTCCAATACATCACTAGTCGTGTATCCGTGTCGACAAATTTGTAATGAATATGTTCCAAAATAAAAAATAAAAATTACGTAAACTTTTGCAGAAAATTCTCACGATTTCACCAATACCAACAAAGTTCTCGAATCCACACGGAATGATGGGATAAACTGATAATCTTTCATGGCGTATGGCAACATTGTGTTGACTGTTGACATTAGACAAGACGGTGTCACTGTGTCAGACACCTTGTTTTGGTCTTGTAAAGTTCAATTTCATAATAAATAGATTTGATCCACATTTCACAGTGACATTTAAATGATGGAAAATTGTTTCAAAATTTAAACACCAATTGATACGCTTCTAAATATGAATTTATTCATGTTTTCGCCCTATAATGTTGAATTTGTCTTAATAACTTCACTTCACTTCAAATCCTGAATGATTTTGTCTCCCATGGCGAGTTTTCAAACGACTTGTGTTTTTTAGAAAATTTGGTTGTTTATAAGCAGTAATTATTTTATTTTAATGAACCAAAGAAAGTTTAGTCATCGAAATGACAAAATCATTAAATTTAATATATTAAGTTATATGAGTGAGATCATCAATTATCAAAGAAGCTGTAAGAAAAAAATCGTTGTTTTTGATGTAAAAGAATGTTTTTAATTTAAAAGAAATGCAATACTGTATTTTCAGAAATATGATGCAAAAATTAATGATCCCTATTAGAATTCAGCAGACGCTACTCATTCAGAATTAAATTGAAAAAGTTGGTACCTATTTGAAATTGCAGTGGATACATCTTCCAGGAGTTTCAATGCAAAGATTCTTATTTAAAGGATAATAAATCGATTCGTAGTTGTTTACTCGAATTACTCCCACCTATAGATATAAATGAACATTATTCAATTCATTTTGAACGTTTTTCATGAATTCGCATTAAAATATTTATTTTGAAATCAACCATGTCAAACTAACGGAATAATTTGTTATAGTTTTAGGCTTCCGAAAATATTTCAAATCTCTATCAGAAATATCATAATTAATCATTCTCTTGCATTGACTATATTAACGTTATGATCCGTGCCGCCGCTGCCGCGCCGCGATTGTCATTTGTTTTCGCAGTTGCATGCCGGGCGACTGCTTTTGTTGTTCTGTGTATTCTCGCTCCCATGAATTGCGCGTTTAGTGTATGCATCATCGAAAAGTATGCTTGACAGCGTAGTCACGGTAGCTGTAATTACTTTATTAAGTTTACTTCTTTGCAGTGATATTAAGAAAGAAATCTTTAATGAACTAATAATTTGTATAATTTTAATTGTTGAGTGAAAGCTGCGCCTGCAGCCTTGCTGGCACGCAACATTTCCAAGTGAGTTAGTCTACTTTATAGAAACTTAGCATACCCATACGTGTTTTAAGCCTATAAGAAGTTCATTTTTTTGCCTGAAATAATGTTGTATCGAAAAACTGGTGTAGGTGTATCGGGAATAATATATGAACAGTCAATATTAGAATTCCATCCTGCCTGAAACCAACATTGTATCTACAATAACAACCCCAGAATCCCAGACAGCAAGAAGAAACTCATCAAACCAACAAGATGCTATGGCAGCTCTGCCACAGCCAAGTCAGGAATTAACGGAAGCCCAGTCTCGAAACACAGCACAATCAAATATGGCACCTGACTCCAGGCATCTTTCACACTGACAACCCTACTAAGAGATGATTTTCCAGCTGAGAAACTAGTTACCTTTCTGTCAAAGACGGACATCATCGACAAGCTCTAAAGAACAATACCACAAGCTCTGACCAAAGCACCAGATGCCCAAGAAGGCTGGTGCTAAAAATTCAACGAGATTCAACGAGATAATATTACTACATTGGAAATGACTAGACATCAGATCGTATAAGGCTTGTGAAAATGTTGATAAAATGATTACCTACTATATTTATTAAGTATGATTTGTATTATTATTACTATTAGAATTCTTGTACCTAGCTTAGTGCCTTAGTTACGTCAGCGGTCAGCCTATGCACAACCACAAGTTCACAACTTATGTCTCACAAGTCACAAGGACAAGCGTCTAAGCCTGCTGCTATCAGTGCTATTACCTAACTAATATTCCTGTAAAGTGCGGATTAGAACCGGTCTGTCTACCGGTTGCTTTTGAAGATTGCTAGAATGCTAGTAGCTAATTTAGTAAATATTTATAGCAGGTATTCATAAATCATAGTGGCAAACCAGAGATTTTTTTGAATCAGTTCATTTTTAATTTAATCATTTATTCAAAATTTAAACCAATTTCTCATGTATGATAATACTGGTATCCATGATACTTTACTGGTCTACTTATAGGACTCAAAAATGAACTTGAGGGAGAGTCTAAAAAACTCTGCTTTGCTACTATGATTCATATTCTTCTGTTCTGTATGTAATAATTTGTGAGTCAAGTCTTTCATGGTTCAATCACTTAGATGTCGATGAGCTGTGATTCTTAATCTTAAGTAAGAAGCCATTTCATTTGTACCTAATTCCGTGATTTTGTTTGAAAATTCATTCAATATTCGTGTATGACAATGCTAGTATTCTAGTTAGGGATAATTTAGGTAGGTATCAATGAATCAGGAACTTGGAAGACTGGAAATCTGGAATCATACCGGCACAGTGGCACCCACCCAGGAAGCAGGAACTGAACTAATGAACTTATGACTGACCCAACTAGCTAGACGCTAGTACCAGCCTAGTAGCTAGCTAATAAGCTACCCAAGTTATTAATTTAATTTTAGATCAAGCCTCAGGGACCTAGGTACTGAAATAGTCACCTAAACTGTCTTCAATAGGTAGTTGTTGCTGTGACGCTGTCCCCAGTAGTTTTCAGGATGTGTCGTCATAGTGGCAAAGCAGAGAGTTTTTTAGACTCTCCCTCAAGTTCATTTTTGAGTCCTATAAGTAGACCAGTAAAGTATCATGCATAGTGGCAAAGCAGAGAGTTTTTTAGACTCTCCCTCAAGTTCATTTTTGAGTCCTATAAGTAGACCAGTAAAGTATCCTGGATACCAACATTATAATACTTAAGAAATTTGATTAAATCTTGAGTAAATGAGGAAATTAAAAATGAACTGATTCTAAAACTGCTCTGGTTTGCCACTGTGTGTGTCGTCACTCGTCAAGTAATTTTTAATAATGAAGTTGCTGAAAGTTTGGAAAGTATATTGCCCACTCGGCCACTCCCCAGGAACTAGCTCTAGCTACAGCAGTCAGCAGGCAATATGGCCTTCTGCAATAAATTCAGGATGGAATTCTAATTTTGAAGGTTCATATATTATTTTGATCCACCAAGACCACTTTTTTGATTCAACATTGTTATTTGAAGCAAAAAGTGAACTTCTTAAAGGCTTAAAACACGTATGCTAACTTGCTCAGTTTCTATAAAGTACCGTAAAATGAGGTAACTTAGACCACAATTTTTTTTAAATGATGCCATTTTCTTACTACTAGCTAAATTAAACTTAAATTGAAACATGCAAAATACAGGTCTATACTTTAGGTTTCCTTACCATAAATTGCTGGCTCCTGCCTCTCATAGGGTAAACGTGGTATATTCCAACACATTAAGGACGCATCAAGAAATGAAAAACTATAAAAAAAACGTATGCGTTATGTAAGTTCTGTTGCCTTCACATGACTCTCAAAACACTTCACTACGCGTCAGCAATGATGAAACTTCCTATAAAAACAGTTATTCACTATTTGGTAGAGCCATGTCAACTGTCAAATTTGACACATTTTTCGATGATCTCACCACGTGGCATGCATTGTCTCTCTTTGGATCTCAATATTTTCCCACTAGATGGCCAAGACCTAGTGTTTATGCAGTATTTCAACACGCAAATGTATGACGTCACCATTTCAACCATCAATGAACGCATGGAACTAAAACAAAGCAGAAAGCTTAATATAAAGGAAAAGCTGGAGAGGTGACGGAATTACCTACGATGTCGGAATATACCGCGTTTACCCTAGTTTTTATGTAATTTCAAAAAAAGTGATGGTCTTTGTTACCCCAGCTCTTGGGGTATCTTAGACTGGGTGGTAAAATCAATTAAATTTTTTGGTAAAATAACTCCAAATAACTCCAGGTTTTGAGGCATTGCAGTAGCACTCTACTAGTTACATATGCAAATGACAAATTTGAGGAAAGTGTCATAGTTTGCAAATGGGGGGCGCTGCCCCCGAATGGGGGAACTTAGACCACCTAATGTCAGCCGTGAAGGGGTAATATTGACCGGCTTGGAAATTCAGCAAAAATTACCATAGATAAGACTGTAGAGTCTGAAACATAAAGAAAAACAATGGGGGCAGCACCCCCCATTTGCAAATTATGACACTTTCCTAAAATTTGTCATTTGCATATGTATATATAACTAGAAGAGTTCTACTACAATGCATCAAAACCTGGAGTTAGTTTACCAAAAAAGAAAAAAAATTGGAGGGGGTACTCCAACAGGCTTTAAATAATAACTTTTTTTTCGTGGGTCACATTTTTAATTTTTTAACCTATTGGATATGCAAACTTTTTAAATCTTTTTATTGTGTTACGTAGCCTTAGTATTAGGCCTTTAATGCCCATTGACAAAATTTTTCTATGTCAAATAGTTTTTGAGTTTTGGGGGTTTTTGTTAAAAAGAACAAAAAGTGGTCAAAGTTACCCCAGGAGTCGAAAGTAACCCCATTTTACAGTATGACCTATCAAATTCTTATTAAATGAATGCTTGCAAAAGCTGATCTCATAGTCTGGGAGTTTATTTTCACATGAAAATCTTATAAATTTACAGTTATATTTATAAATTAGATTAGAAGATGATGTTTTTTTAAATTATCTGTGCAGATAAGCAGTGTAGAATTCATTCCGTTAAAGCAACTAAAAAGTTTTTTATGATATCTGCATAGATTGTTTTGTAGATCATTTCTCTTCCTCTTGCTGACTGTAAGTTATGTCACAATATGGCAATGGAAGCAATAAAGTGCCTCCTTGGCAGCAGCGACCACAGCCTACCATTCCCTCTTTGCTTGGCCAGCATCCTAATGTTGCTGCTGCAGCAGCTGCGGCTACACTTGCCAACCACCTTGTGATGGCTGGGCAACAGCAGCAGCAACAACAACAACAACCACCTCCCCAGGCACCCCCTCTACAGCAACCACAGCAGTATACTTCTGTCCAGCAAAGCATGATACAAGCTCCTGGGTTAGCAAACATGGCCACCATGGCTCAGTCAACCATAGTGCAGGCTCAGCCTCCTGCAATGCCTGGTCAGCCACAGGCAGCTGCTCAGACATTAGTTCAAAATCCTTTGTCTCAACCAAGTCTTATGGGTCAACCACCTTTGGCTTCTCAACCTTTGCAACAGTTCCAGCAGCAACAAGTCATGCAACAGCAGCACCAGCAGACTCTCCAACAACAACAGCAACAGCAAGTGCTGCATCAGCAGCAACAACAAGCTCAGGTAGACTGAAATTTACCAAAGGAAGCAACAAACATTGAATTTATTTACTAATTATGTTATCATGATCTTTCAATGATAGTATAGTGTAGTTTTTCATGAGTAGTATAATTGACCTATAAAAATGAAACCTGCAGTTGAACATAGGTTGAACTTTTGAAAAAACTGCTAGGTGCTAATTTCATTGAAGCATTGAAACTGTTCAGCATTACATTGCAGCTGTGGGCTTCCCAATTTATTCTTTTTTCATTTGCAATAAAGCATATATGATGCCTTTAATCTCATTATGGTCACTGCCTACATTAGGTGGCGCCTGTACAGTATCCAGCTCCACGAGCCCTTGTCCCTCCTACAACGTTCCCCAACCTGCCCAGCACTCTGACTGCCCCTCCTGTAGTGGGGATGCCCCCAACATCCACACCTAACATGGGTCAGTTGTGCTAATAGCATGGAGTCAATTAATTCACTTATTATGGTCAAGGAAAGTGAGATGTGTATAAATTAGTTTGTAAATAAATTTCATTGACATTGCAAGAGAATGAGGCCTACACACATAATCTCACTCACATCAAGTATTTTTTATAGTCTTCTTACTGCACCCTATGAACAAATTTCTTCCTATTAACAGTTGGATTTGTACCTGACTTACATCAAGATCTTATTAAATTGTTTTAAAATAGATGAATTACAATTTTTATTTCAGCAAAAGAAATTACGCAATTCATTTTATATATTGAAGCAAAAGAGTACATTTCCCTTGCAGCAAAATCATGTTTGCTTAACAGAAGTTTAGTTGTAAATAATGATAGTCCTTAATAAGTGATTGAATGCTACATTTTGCATTGAATTTTGTAGGTCTTGGTGGGCTTAGTGTTGCAGTTGCTCAGTCTCAGCAGCAGCCACCTCAGCAAGGACAGCAGCAACAAGCACAGCAACCGCAAAAGCAGCGAGTCTTTACTGGCACCATCACCAAACTTTGCCCAGACTTTGGCTTTGTTGATGATGATGTCTTCTTCCAGACCTCGTGAGTCATGAAGCTTAAATTGTCTGAATAATAAATACTTTAAATTTATATTACTGTGAATGGTAAGTTCAAGGGTTGATCATGTACCTATGTATGAAACCATGAAGAAACTAACATTTTTTTGCTGTAGGGTTGGACTATTTCTTTGCCTTTTCTACACATGGTAAGCAAAAATGGAATGCATGCAGTGTTTGTGGACCAACATTGTCAAAGGGGTGCTCTTGTGTCTGTTTTTTTTTTTATAGAATCTTATACTATTACTGCCAGAACCTTGGTTTCTTCTTTTCTTCTTCTACAAATGGAACTGGAGGTTTATTGTTTATTCATTTTCAAAGCAATGACTGGTCTGTTTATTGACACTGTCATTTATTCTACTCTAAAATAAGTTATTGTGATGCAGTTTGTGTTGGCTAAATTTTTGTGGCTTATATGTATGTTTGGCATATGATGTGAGAATATCCAATTGATGAAGAATATTTTAATATATATTGGTGTAAGCTGGATCCACGTTGTTTTTATGATGGATCCAATGGAGTATTTAGTTTAACTAAAAATGGATTCAATTTCTTCCTGCAACAAGATTTTTTTTGCTTAATTAACATTTGGTTATCATTAGTTGCGAGGTAGCCTTTTTCTAGACTATTCTCTGTCTGAAAAAATTTTTGATTGTTCCCTCTACCGGTACTTATTGAAGAACTTCCTTTCAAAAAAACCTATGTAGACTGATAAGGCCCTACCCTATTGCATAAAATTGTATTCAGACTGTGCATATTTTTGTCTTCACTATGAATTAAATGTATGCAAGCAGCCTATAATGTTGTCAGTATGTTATGAAACTATCAACTTCTTTCCAGTATGACTAGCTCCTAACCCCTGTTGTTTCTTGTGCAGTTGTGTGATAGGCCAGCCACCTGTGGTGAATGACAGGGTTTTAGTTGAGGCCACGTTCAACCCAACGATGCCCTTCAAGTGGAATGCTAATAGAGTCCAAGTTATTCCAGGTATGTTTAATTTATATATGTACCTGTTTCTTTGGTTTCTTGCATAATTATTAGTTCTTAATCCTATTTGCCTCTTTCAAATGGTTGATTTTAGTCAGTATTTTTTGTTATTATTTGGTTATTTCTTAAGTACCTACAGACGATTTACTGTTTTTGTGATTTGATTGCACCAAAGGGAGAATAGATCCACATCTGGCATTACATTGCTAGTATTGAGCATGCGTTGCTGTTCATAGGTCCGAACCGTGACGCGTGCAGCGTGCGGGACAGCCTGCGTAGCAGCACCACCAGCACCAGGCTGACCGGGGCCAGTGGGCGTGCAACGGAGGGCGCCTACAATGCTGTACCGCCACCGGCATTTGCTTCCAATGGTGACTTTATTTAATTTATACTTATATATATGCTTAATTTGATTTTTTTTCTTATCACTACATAATTTCATTTCATGTTGCGTGATTAATATTTCAATAAGGTATTAAAAGCTGTATATGAGATTTTCAATGACGAAAGAAATATGACTGGTAGAAATTGAACATATTTCATGGCTACTGAATTGAGGTTGTGGGGTTCCAGGGTGGATTTATTACAATGCTTGGTTGATAATGAAAATTAATTTATCTCCAGATCGACGCTCATTCCGTGACAGTGGTGGCTCTTACAGTAACAAAGGTGACGTAATGTGAATCACTGTAATTTTTACATTTTTTTCCCTGTAGATCTGAAAAGCCTTCCATTTAACTCTAAATATTGTTCATTGCAGTATTTCTTACTCATAACCATATGTTATCAATAAATAATGGAAGTGCTTGAGGGGGAAGAGGCTCGTTCGCATAATGTTGCATGCAATATGGTTTTAACCTTTATTTTTATATCTTTGTAGTGTTTGTTTTTTCATCTTCTGTCATTAAGAATATGCGATTATAAAGAAAAAGCTCCCAGTATTTTCTGACTTGATCGCATTCTATGGGTTTGAGCATGATTGCAAAGCAGCCATTAGGCAAAGAACATAGCAAAGCAGTCAATTATAGGCATGAGCACTCTATTATCAAACAGTTTAATAGTCTTCCACACTATTATCTTCGATGTATAATACGTAGTGCATCCCACAGTATAATAGTCCTCCACATCACTATTCTCATTAAATTATTTGTTCACAGATAGTTTCTCATCAAGAAGCAGCCGACGCAGTCGCTCCCCTCGCCGGGACAGTCGCCGGGACCGTGATCGCGACGACGGCAAAGAGAAGGAAGGCAGCAGCGCGTCGGGCGGCCGCGCCTCCAGTAAAGACGCGGACACCAAGCGCAAGCGCAGCCGGAGTCGCGACCGCTCACCCCGCTCGCCCTCGCGCCGGCGTCCGCGTGTCGCCCCGCGGTACAACGTCCAGGTGAATGTGCTTCAATGGTCTGCAATCATTTATAATAATTTTGTTATATTATTATACTAATAATATTATTATCTATATTAGTATTATAATATATTCCTACCTTGGGTTGAAGCAGATTAATCATTTTGGAAGAATTATTGAGCACAGGTAGAAATTATAGATGATTTAAATCAAGAGGGAGCAAAAGTTGATCTTGTGCTTAGAAATTCAATGACGATAATTTTTAATGAAAAATACATCTTCATCTGATCTGCATTTAATTAGCAAACAAATTGTATTGAATTTGTTTGATGAGCATTGAATACGCGTTCTCTGAATTTCACTTTCCTTGTTGCAGTGCATATTCATTCCATCTGAGACAATATAGGCTGCAATATCAACCATCAATGTTTGAAAAAGGCCTAATAACGTTCCAAGTTTAATCACAGGTGATTGTGTTCACTTCAGGTTCCAAAACTGTTGCTGCAAATTGAGGAAGCAAACATACTGGAACTACGTAAGCGTTACTCCAACCTCTACATTCCGAGTGACGTGTTCGTAACTCGTCCCCTATGGAGTAACACCTTCCCCCCTCATCGCCCCTTCCCGCTGCCCAAGCCCGTAGGCTTCCATGTCATGCATAAGGACGTTGATAGCGTGCTGCCCAATGACGCCATCTACGACCCGCCTGATGCCAGCCACTCGTTCTCAGCTAAGGTGCCTTAATAATAGGATTTATTTTTAATATACAATGTATAAATAAATATATACAATGAATTTAAATGTATTGACAAAAAGTCTATACAGGCTCTCAACTTTAGGAGGATAGTAATGTTTAAAATCCCGCAGTATCCGCGTCTAGTAACTATGCTAGAAAGTGTTGCTCTGCATTAACTTGAATGGTCATTAAGTCCTACTGCTGTTTCAAGTACATTTCAGTAGGTTACTTGGATGTTTCTTCTGCAATGACCATAATATTCATAAATTGTGGATGTATCATACTTTTTTCAAAAATCATCTGTAATGTAGGTTTTATGGAGTGTGGTCACATCTGCATCACTGAACTAGTTACTTTGTTTTCTCGCCGACTTATAGAACTCGTTCATTAATTATGCTGAATGGTACACACTGTGAGGACTCGGAATTTCAAAAATCTCTTATTTTTTTTTAATGTGCATCCACATTACATTATCTACGCATCCTACTTTTTTCATTCACTTTTGTCTGGTATGAATCTTTCTCATTGCAAATATTCGCGCCAGTCTACACTACAGTCCATGTTCATATTTACTTTTAAAGTTGATATTAGTGTCTTCTGAGCCTTCAACTTCAGATCAGTGTGTTATGAGATTTTTGCTGCAATATCGTTCAGTTTTTAACTTATTTAAACCTTTTCTATTCCAGGTTATTCAGTACTGTATTTTATAATAACCTGTACATTGAATATCAGCTAAAATACTGCTTATTCTTGATATTGTTGTTATTGTTGTTATCAGAAATCATTATTGTTACTTTTTAGTGCATTTTCTCATTTATGGAATAAAGGCGTTATTGTGCTCCCCATGTCCGTCTGTCCGTCTGTCTGTCCATCCGACGAAAAAATGTGCTCTCTGTCCCTCACTGCAGTGAGTACCGAGTTATATTATTTTCTTGGTGTCGTAGGTGATGCTGTTGTCGGTGCCGTCCATGGAAGAGATCTACCGCCGATCATGCGCCCTCAGCGAGGATACCTCAGACTCCCGGGACGCTTACGTGCATCCTACGCGCCTCATAAACTTCTGCGTGGGCCTCAGGGGCAAGAGTGAGACCATGGCCATAGGGGGCTATTGGAGCCCCAGCTTGGACGGCCCTAACCCTGACAAGGACCCGTCAGTGCTGATCAAGACAGCCATCCGCACGTGCCTCGCTCTCACAGGCATTGACTTGAGTCCCTGCACTACCTGGTAAGTGATGTAGTTCATAGCTGTCAGTCAATAGTATCTTTAATTTCTGTTAGTGCTTTATCGTGGTGAATTTATTCATGAAATATGTTAGTAAATTTCGTATAAAATCTTGCTTGCAATGAATTTTTTATTTTTTTTTTTGCAGTCTTATCTTATTTATATATGCTATTAATGCTAATAATCCAGAACTGCAAATACGTATACGTACTATACAAATTAGATGATTATGAATGGCTCCATAAATGCGGGCTGAACATCCCCATTTGTTTTGAGATTTAACACTCAGGCTATTCAACAGGAATTTTGTTATTTTCTTATTCCTTAAAGCATTTGACAGTAGCGTATTTCATTTCTAGCCGTAGCCTTGACGGGACTGATTTTCTGGAAGGCTTATGTCAATACAGAGGTTATGCGTGATCCGTTATTACATTTGAATGCCCATAATTGAGTTCCAGTTGTTTAGTTTTTAGATGTATATAATACCTTTTTACAGTTCGGCTTGTCAAAGACAAGTAAGTGCCAGACTTAATCAACTTTGTTAGCTAATTGTCTTACTTTGTTAAGCTAATAATTAATGAAAGTATGCATAGTTGTGCCGAAGGTCGCTCCGCAGTTATCCTTATTTATTAATATGCATCGGTTGAGAGCGTTGACGGGATGTGCTCCATGTATTGCCATGTTGTTGGCTGGTAATGTATTGTCAGTGTTAACCATTCATGCAAAGTAACCACATGTTTTCAGACGCATTTGATGATTCCTCTGATGTTCAACTGGTGCTGAAGAAGCTGATTTTATTCGCGGGTAATAGCTAGAATACCAAATTTATACTTCATCTTATCGTCTATAAATCGACAAATACATTTCTTTTTGTGTATCTGATGTTCCTATTCTTTTTGAATTATCAATTTGTAGTTTTCAGTTTCTGTTCTTCATTCCACGAGTAATAGCATTACTTCCACGAAGAAAAGCGTGGCTATTAGTATCCTTGGTGTGTCGACGAGACCTAGATGATATGACGCCACGATGTCATGCTGCTAAATTCCTCATGTGTGCTGAACTTTAATTAATTCTTCCTCTGGGTATAGAGTGTATAGGAAAGAAAGCCGTGCTGTGATGGGCTATTGTCCTACTGTAACCGAGACTTGAAGTGTGAGGCGCTCACTTTCTTTTTACGCGAAGCTCTCTTGACGACTCACATCTGATCTCAGGTACCGGTTTGCTGAGATTTACTATCGCCGTGCCGACTCAGCTCACAAAGGGCGAGCGCCATCGGCTGCTACTGGCGGTGGTGGCATCACAAACACCACTATAACCACTACCAATACTACCACTTCCACCACCACTACCACTCGTAGCACTGGTACAACGTGTAGCAGCAGCAGCAGTGGTGGTGGTGTAACCGACAGTAATGTTTGTAGCAGCGGTGCAGCGTCTCGCGCTCCAGGCAATGAGCCTGGACGCGTAGAAACTACAGTCATATTTCTACCCGATGTTTGGAACATTTCCCCTACTAAGCTGGAGTGGGATGGCCTTCATCTCAACTATAAGCGGCTTCTTGATAGGAAGTTGGCATCCATGGCAGGCGGTGCTCCCGTGGACGAATGTGAGGGCGACATGCCCGACGAGGAGGAGCTGGAGGATGACCAGGCACTGCATATATAAAAGCTTTCTTCTTCTCTCTATCCTCCAACCTGTTTAGTCTATAAGTTGAACTCTCATGCTCCTTCCTCTCGATTTCTTCTATATTGCTTTCGCATCAGCAGTGTCTCATCAAAGCTTGGCCAGTTATCATCTTTTTAATATGTTTTTGACATTTTTCGGCAATTGCGATTTGTATTTTTTACGTTCGTATTTATTATTGGGTTCATTATTTCTCCACACTTTGCTCCATTGTTTCAACTAGTTTCACTGACACTTCTCCGTTGAGATATCTTTATTTTTAAACTCAGTTTTCATTTTTAATAGTGCTAATAAAGCTCGTGTATTCTTGTAAGTTGAAACAAACTGGTCATGCCTTTCTTGGGAAGTTCAGATGCTCTGTCTGCACTCCATAGCGCTCCGTATACGGCACGAACACAATACAGCAAAATCGTGATGATTCATGTTAATGATTCTGGTCATGGCTCATAGCATGTTTGTTGATTCTCATATCTTGATTCGCGCTAATTTAAGAACAATTTCACTTAATTTGTTTCTGAAAGAAATTTTATTTGATTATATTGCTCGAAAATGTTCGTGTACCGAGAGCTGTAGTCTCATCTCTTCTTCTTTCCTCACTGCCGACTTCTATGTTTTGCCTTTATTTGGTCACTGCTTATCATCCCTTGATTCTACGTCGTTTGATTTAATGGATGCCGCTCGGCTCATGTTTGCCCTGATGAAATTGTTCTGTTTGTTTTAGAGAGGTTCCGTGCTACGCTAGACATTCGACGAGACGATGCTGATGCTATCGCCCATCAGTTATTATTACGTCAAATTTAAAGTTAATTGTTTCTATACCTATATACATCTCTGTGCAAAATCTGTGGGTTCAACGTGCTCTAAAAATACAAAGTGTTTATGACCTTCAATTTTGTTTGCGGATAATAATTATTTTTACTGCTGTAGATGACCCACCTTCACTAGATACGGAGCTGTCCATGTGAGGAACCCCACTCCTGTGTGCTGTACGATTGCTAGGTTCTGTTGTTAACATCTAGTTAGTTTGTTAGTGTTTGTCTGTGAGCGACTGAGTGGGTGCCCGCTGACCCTCTACTGCTCTGCAACTAACTCCTTTTGTCCTCTCCTATAGGAGACGCCAAAGCGTAAGGATCCTTCCCACTGGTCGGCTCTTGATATCAAAACCATGAAGGTGAGAAATCAATCTCGGATTTCATTTCTTACTGCTTTTAAGAAGTTGGGAACGAGATTCATGTCTTTTTTATATAAATATCCTTCTGCAGCTTTTTTTTACGCGAGTGGGGATATACAACAGCTCTTGACAGCCCATGCTGATCAATATCAGTTTGAATTATATATATGATTTGCATGAATTGTTGGAAAGAAAGCACCAGAAGATGAAAAGGTGCAACGTTTGCTAATGGGTAATGAAGTTTCTTTCGAGTGATGGTTATTAGTTGATTTGAGAGTGATCAAATTTGGAAAGCATCATTAAGCTTCATGTGGCAGGTGATTTATAATACGTAATCTACTTGAAAGTCATTGTACCTATGTTGAAAGATTAAATAGGCTCTATTGGCAGGTGGTGGAACTACGAGAAGAACTGGATGCTCGTCTCTTGAACAGCCGCGGCCTCCGATCCCAGCTCATTGCTCGCCTCACTAAGGTGCGCTGAGCAACCAACTTTATTGTGTGCAACCTCGATTAATTTTGCCTTCATTTAGATATACCTATTGTTTTATTATTTGTTCTCGCTGAAGGCCCCAATTTTATTGATTAAATATAAATACTGGTATCTCTATTAATATTGTTTAGAATTTTTTCTGCCAAGGGTCGACTTGTTTGTCTGGAGAAGGTACCAATTGATGCGGAATAATGCAATTGCCGGTGTTTGTATCTTGAAAACACTCAATAGAAAAAAATTTGTATAGCCTTATCGAGCCATTCTGTTTTTATCAATTCTAATTAATGCACGTATTAGGAGGATTTGAATTTCAATGCCAATTATATTCACATTTCTGTAGGTGCTGAAGTCTGAGCAAGACAAAGAAGAAGCCGAGAAGGCTGCTATTGAAGAGAAGATGAAAACTGACGAGATCCTCAAAAAGGAAGAGGAGGATAAAAGGAAGGAAGAGGAAAAACGCAAGAAAGAGGAAGAGGATAAGAAGAAGGAAGAAGAGGAAGTGAGTTTGTGTGAAAATTTAAAGTTGAAAAAATTTATATTTTTTCAAACGGTAAACGACGTTGCTATAAAGTTAACTGCTACATAAGAACAGGGTGTTATATGTGTTAAGTTTTAGTAAATTCAACTTTAAATTCCTGAAGCTCTTATCGGAAATCATTGTTAGGTGTGATTCTATCTTAAATATTAATATAGGTTTTAAAAAGTAAGAATTATCATGCACGGTGTTGTATGTTGTCATGCTAGGGTTGAGTTAACCTGAAATTTATACCATTTTAGAAATGTGTATATCATGAAGACGTGCTGCCAAGCCTAATTCCGAAACAGTAGTTCCATAATCTTGAAATTTGTATCATTGCTTTGTAGTGTAGGTAATAATTATTGTTTGGGGTAATAGTGAAATGCAACTATATTAATGATGCGACCAGGGCAAGGGCAATCACATCAAAAATGGTGTTATAGATAAGTCCTAAAGAAGAGGTCATGAAAAGAAACTTGAAATCCAATAAACACTAAAATAAATTCCTATCCGGTGGAGAAAATTTAGTTAATATTGAAGAATAATCAAATGCATATTATGTATGAATGCAATTTTTGAAACAGATGCGCCGCAGCCTTGAGAAGGAGCGCGCGCTGCTGGAGAAGAGGCACACGCTGCCTGAGACGCCCATGCTGCTCGTGCACCCATCGCGCTCTGCTAAGAGCGGCAAGTTCGACGCCACCACCATGAGCCTCTCCGTACTTCTCGACTACAGACAGGTTATCCAGCTCTCATGTTCTGTCTATAGTGCACTCTATTTTGTTATATATTTGTTGGCTATATGGAGTTAGTTGCTATTTTGCTTGAAAATTAAGCATAGATTATTCTCTAATGTGTCACGTTATTAATAATTATTTGCCCTATAGACCCTATAGTTGGTTTATGAGCTTTGACTTGCATGAATTAAAAAATATCCCTAGTCATTATTTATCAATATGCATAATATGAGCTTGCATTTCAAATATGTCTAATATGAGCTTTGATTATATTATTTTAATGTAGTCCAGGTTCATGTCTTCATTGGTGCACAAGCGTAACACTAGTTTCCCGTTTCGCCTCAGGAAGACAACAAAGAGCACTCGTTCGAGGTGTCACTTTTTGCCGAGCTCTTCAATGAGATGCTCATGAGGGACTTTGCCTTCAGGATCTACCGAGCTCTGGTCGAGGCGCCTGAATCGCCTAAAGAAGAGGTACCAAATTTTCAGTAATATATATGCATGAAAAACTATAATTGATTCTCGGTTTGAGTCAACGAAAAGCATCTTTTGTCTAGTTTTCTGAAGTACCACCATGAAGTGCTCCTAGCCTGTAACGCTGTGAATGTACATATCCTATACTGTTCAGTCAATTGATAAATTTAAGTACAATTTTCTCATTTGTGTCGTGAAATATACACAAGTTGATGTGTTTATCAATCCTATAAACCCTATTGTAATACGATCGCGGGCTGATCGTCGTGAGCATTAGCGTTGAGTTGATAGGACATACAACATGCATTCATTTTGTACTGCACATTTAAAAGACAACTTTTTCAGCCATCACGATTTAATTTTGTGTTCCAGGAGAAGAAAAAAGATGCAGAAAAGAAAAAGGACAAAAAGAAAGATGACAACGATGAAAAAGTTGATGCCGATGTGATAAAGAGTACTGATGAGAAAGAAAGTGAAAAGAAAACCGAGAAAAAAGAGGACGAAAAAGAGGAAAGAGAGCCCAAGAGGAGACGAAGAGACAAATTTAAGCGAGAAAATGACCAAAAGGATGACGATGAAGACGCTGTGCTGGACCTTGACTTCGAGTATGAGGTAAGTCCAAACATTTGCTAGCAGATGTTGCGTGCTTATTTTGATTTCCAACAGATTGGCTTATAGCTCTCCGTAAAGTAAATATGGTACTGAAGCTCGCAATGCAGTGCTAGTAACTCGCCCTGAGATACTCATTGCTTCGAGTAAGGGAATGGGCTGCTCCTATTATCGTGCTAAAACTCTCAATGGTATTGAAAGCTCGCATAATGGTGCTTACAGCTGTTATTAAATGAACCTGTGACATACCGGTAGCGTTATTTATTGCCGTTATTAAATGAGACCTTCAAATCGACATGATTCAGTAGAAAAAAATTGTGATAATTAAAAATAAAAAATGTTTGTGTCGTAATTTTTTATATGACGAATTTTTTAAACAAAGTGTGTGTGTGTTTAGAAGATCGAAGATTGCAAAATTGAACGTAATGTTTTGTTGTGCAGCAGGAGGAATTCTTCAAGAAAGATGCCAAGGCTGATAAAGAAGCGCTCGCAGAGGACGAGGATAGCAAGGAAGCCAGCAGGAGCGTCAGTGCGGACGTGTCCAAGGATCATGGAGACCGTCAGTCTGAGTCAAGTTCTCGTGAGACTAAGAAGCGACGAGCCAGTAGCTGCGACCGCAAAGACGACAAGAACTCTAAGGAAAAGAAGAAAATGTTCACTTTTGACCCTTATTTGTTGCTGGCATTTGTCTACTTTGACACCACGCGCACTGGCTATATCATTGATAAAGATCTCGAGGATATCATAAACCTGCTCGGCATGAATCTCTCTAGAGCTCAGGTTTGATGTTAAAATTAATACTGGCATGTTTTCTCGTGCATTATTTGACTCGAGCAGCAACAATTTCAAGTCAATATTTTGTAATGTGAAATAATTCACTCATTAAAATTGATGTTATTCTCATTTATTACACATGTTGTTAGAAGTTAGAAAGTGACAGGATAATTACTTATAGGAATTATACCTTTCACTGACTTATCTATAAAAATACGTACCTTAATTAGTAACATCTCTCTACAAAATGGATGTTTAAATCAAGAAATTTGAAACAGATGAAGAAGCTGACGAGCAAGCTGGTGTCCCGTGACGTGCTGTACTATCGTAAGCTCACCGACGTGCCTTATGAAGACAAGGATAAGGAGAGGCCACCGGTCGCCCAGCCATCCTTCATGGAGCTTCTCGCCAGAGGTGGATTGAATTTCCGTGCTCCCAAAGCTTGATTTATAGACTTAATTTTAGTGCTCCGACTGCTCTCAATGCTTGATTGTTAACCGAGTATCAGTGCTCATGAAGCTTGATTTGAATTTTCAATTTCCGCCCTCCTCAAGATCAATTAAAGAGATTAATTATTATATATGTGTTATTATGTATTATTATTATATTATATGTGTTTTTTAAATGCTACTTGATTTCGTTGTCAACTATTAATTATGCGAAGTAGGATTTTCACCTAGCACTCGCATTGTTCTTTTACAACTCTGACTGGTTTGGTGTTATACAATTGTGTTCTTTTGTTGATATGTTAATCTATGTATTGAAAACTAAAAAAAAATTATTGTCAGAGAAAAACAGTAAATTCGAACACTTTTACTGAACCTTCTGCACATGGTTATATTTTTACTAAAATCTTTAGAATGAATATTTTTTCACAATTTGTACCTAAATTACTCATTTGTGCTGTTTGTAGTGATCGAAGAAACGTGACCACTCAGAATATTGTTATTATCGTAACAAAATTTTCCAGGCAACAAAAATCATCTTCCCATTTTCTGCGAGGACGGCGGTGACTTTGCCCGTCGTGGCGGCCGTGCCTCCAAGAGTGAAGATTTCCCACAGCTGAGGGAGGGTAAGTGAATCTTGCCTGACGGATGCCCGCAGTATATGAACGACCTTGGCGCACGTTTGATTGAAGAACATAGAATGCCATTTATTAATAATTTTCTTGTTTATTCTTTTCACGATTTTTTTGATTGGGAAATTTTATAGCTAATTTTGATTTTTTAATCGGGATATTTTTGTGCCTAGTTTTGATTATGTAATTTACAACTGAGGCGAGGAGTAGTCTGCATACTACGAAATGTTTTGGCATGGAAGGAAGTTGTCAGATCATTGTATATTATTTGTGTAAAGCTATATATTTGTTGTGAATCTAATGTTTTTAAGTTTAAATCATTTAAGTTTTTTATAAAATGTAATAACTAGAATAGCATTGTAAGTGATAGCTATGACTACGATTGACGCGTTATGTTTGCCTAATTTGATATTTGCTTGCCAGGCGTAGTGCGCTACGAGGGATCCTTGGTAGACGTGGCCAAGCTCATGCAGCAGCTGCAACGATCAGAGAAAGCCTTGATTGATACTGAAGAAAAACTCAGGACTACGCAGAAAGATTATGGTGAGTTGAGTAACATAATCGTGAGCATAAGGTGTCCTTGTTTCTTTCGACCTTGTCCTTGCCGCTAATTCTTGAAGAAATTTTCCAAGTAGCATGGGCCATCTTCTATTTGCATGTGCTATGCATGTGTATAATTTCTATGATTACTAACACGATACTTGATGAAATATTTTTCATACTGGGCAAAACATTAGTTCGGAATCAGACTCTGGCCATGCAGGATTTTCTTTATCACTGAAACGTGCCTAATACCTAATCCAAAGAAGAGTTATCAGAAGAGCCACTCCTACACTATAGCTGAAGCTTGAAACTTTGCTTGAATTGCGCAAAATTGACCTGCATTAAATTTTTTTACATTAAGATCCGCGAGGCTAAGAAATTGAAATTTAATGTGTGGCCGGATAATATCGCTTTTTACAGCTTGTTTCAGCGTTGTCAGAAGGGTTTCAAACAGTTACTGTAATTTTTAGCACACGAGTCAATGTTCCAAGCATATAACATTTTCACTAGTGTCCAATAACGCAGGCAACATTTATTGATATCAACTCTTGTATGGGGCAACACTATGAGAAACTTTCCACGAATGGTCTCTCCTATGTTCCAGGCTTGTGCAAGGAAGAGGTTCGCCGAGTAACTGAACGCAATCAACGTCTCACAAAAGATCTGCGCCAACAGCAGCACACCTCACGCTTCACTGAAGACGAACTCAGACGCTCCATGGTGAGTTGTTGCTTACTCAATTTGTTTTGTTGAATCCAAGTTTGTACGTAACGTATCAATTGCCCAACACATCGTGTTCTCTATTTTTTTCTGCAGACATAGGAATTCTTTAATGCTTCAAATGGAATCACGTACCATTCCCATTTGATATTAGAAATGTAACTGCTTGTTTTTCATATTCTTTAGAAACAACGTTTCACTGTCAAGATTTTCAATCTTGCCTGTATTTTTATAACCTGTTACGCCTATTTTATCTCTGTTGGATTACATAGCCACAACTTGCACAAAATACGATTGTAAAGTCGTAAATTTATGCAGCCTGAAGTCGGTTAATTGAATAATTACTGGAATTACAAGAGATTTTTCGATCATCTAAGTCACTAATCTGCATAATATCCCTCTTATTCTCATATCTAATAAGATTCCTGTGTATTTGATAATGAATTTTGGTTTAACCGTCCTTTGGATTACCTATGATCTTTGAAAGCTTTGATGTAGCTTTGAGTACCATCTCTTGCTCCTTCAACAGGACGATAACTTACGCTACATGACGGCTCTCAACACCATTAAAGACGTAGTCAAGCCTTTCGTGCGAGGCCTTGAGATTGATCTTGATGAAAGTATCGACATCAAGACTGAAAACGGCAGCTCCCGTGATGCAAAATCTCCTTCGTTCATCAACACTCCCGATGATGGTCGAACCAACGGCGTAAACACTTGAACTTCAGATTCATCTGCTGAGTCACTTCATGTTGTATCCATGTTCTCAAAACGCGCTTCATGACGTAACGGGCTCCAGTAGCTCCAACTTTCCCAACACGCTCTTTGTTGACAGATCTGTAGTCTTATTGAGTGACTTCATGATGTACTACCAACGTGCTAGTGATCGCGTAACTCGTTTTTGGAACTTTCGTTTTCATGCATCCTTGTACGGAAACATCAAATCGAACGTACGTGTAGTCTCGACTATTGTACAAAATTTACGAGTCATGAAAATATGCGAAGACTTGTATAAATATAAGTCTTAACTATAAATCTTTTCATATCCAATGGTCTCGCACAGAATTTCATAGCGATTCTACTGTTGATGTTTGTTGATGTAAATGTCGTCAGCACAGTCTACTGCCGTCTCGTTGAAATGAGTATCGACACACTCATAAGTGCTGTTAGAAGATTCGTATCGATTTTTTAGTAATGTTTATTTTGGTTCTGTCTTACTTAGAGAGTAGAAACTTATTCAGTTCTGGCTAAGTTGTACTGATCTAAGAATACGTGAACTTTACTTCCACATGTTCATCCAAAAACAATGAACCCTCAGCCTTGGATTTAGTTTGTAACGAGTTTCATGACCATTTAATGCTCGTTAATGGAAGTGTTCTTTCGTTGCAGGGTTAAATTTACTTATCAATTCTTGACAATTTTATTCTGTTGTATTGTTAGCCATTGAGGCCTGGCATGTAATCTTGGCTGATTCAAAAGTTCAACAAAACTTCAAATTTTCTGTTCCGATCTGATTCCATTCACTAAGATTTTCTCGTTCGATATATTAGTTTTGAATTCTTAGTGAATATTTTATTCACTAAGATAAATCGTTCAATATTTTAGTTTTGTTTATATTAGTTGTATTAATTTGGGATTTTGAATGGAGATTCAGTTGTTTTGCGTGAACAAACGGGAGCTGCTAAAGTGATTCCCATGAAGATACCCGTTAATAAATAATTGCGACGTATGGACGGTCACACATTCTCGTGCTGTTGAGTGGCAGATTAATTCTGCCAGCAATACAGCGTTGCTCGTGTTCAGTGAAGGCTGTCGTGTTACCGACGCAATATTGATCAGTAGAAGAAATTTCCCATTACTTGCATGCTTAGAGTACTTCTTTTAATTGCTAGTGTTGCAATGACAACAATCTTGACTTGACTTTTCATTTGTAAATCTCACATTTATTTTCTTTTCCTTGTTCTGTCGTGAAACAGTGCTAGTCGTAATGGTCGTTAGTCGCATTTTCATGAATAAAGGGACTTGTAAATCCTGTGTTTCTGTCATCCGCTTTTTCCCAGTTTTAGAATACAGTATTACCGATAGATTGCCATATACATTTTTTTAGTTAACAAATATACGAACTTTATTCGATTCGTGAGTTAAAATTTTTAATTTGATATCATCATGATACGTTGTTGATCGTCATTCATGATGCAGTTTCACCTCGAATTGAAGCCGTTCTAGACCACTATACACAAAGGTTTAATGCCCTCAGGGGGATGCTCTGCTGCGTGAGCGGAGCGTTCAAGAGATTGGCGTGCGTTCTCTGGGTGCCCGAGCACTTTCTTTGAACTTGATGAGCTGAGGTCTTCAGACGCGTGTCTATGCTCGTCACTGTCAGCAGTCATTTGGGATTTAGCGTACCTAGAGGTCATAGTCCCTGAGCATCTCACCACTGAACTCGCGGTACCTGACTGCGGGTCTAAGTTGTGAAATGAAGTTCTTTAGGCAGGATTCGTAACATATCCTTTATTCTTTACTCTGGTGCGGGCAGCCGACGTCTCGTATAAGAGACCCGTTTACCCGTCTATTCTTATTAGTCCCTTTGAGATGCTAACACTGCTCCATTCTTGTCAACTTCTGTGGCCTGGTCGCTGACTCGAGGGTCCTTTCATGGGTGATGAACGATTTGAGACGTTTTACATACTTGAGAGCTTCCGCCTTTATACTGAGGATTACAGTCGACTTTCGGTAAGAAATAGCTTAATTGCTGAGTACTATTCTGATAATTTCAACTTATAGATAGTCTTATTTACACTATCATCTCGATGATAACTGTTGAAGAAGTCGAATCATCACGTCTAATGCCATTTATCGTTTTCGAGTTTCAAAACTTTTTCATGCAATTTTCGTCTTACTTTCAATTCACTTGAAGTAATGAACCGTTTCTCTTGTTTTTATTTACAGAGGCAGATTTTGATTATTTTTATTATAGTACCTACATTAATCACCATAAACCATTAACTTGACGTACCAGTAAATGAGGAACAATTTCTTCTTGTAATATGAGGATGACCAAATAAGTTATACTCGTAATTGTAGTATAAAACGGCCATCTTGTTCTATTTTCACGAAAGCAGAGATGGGCCTAATCTGACGTCTGATTTTAGTGAGTAAAGTGTGATAGAATTTATTCTCTCTTACTCAGGATTTACTGTAATCTTTGTTCCACCCTGAGTTAATCGCTCAAAGATGGCGCAGAGCGATTTTAGTCTTGTCCAGCGTATATACGAACTCGAATCAAGTTTGTCAGAGCGCCTAATGCGTTTAAGTTATGGAGATAAGGTGCAATATACGTACGATCCCATCCAGTACGCCAGTGTTCCTCACTGCAATTACCTACACATGTTCTGCTCTCCCAAGCCTGCTTCTCTAATGCTGTTGGGCATGAACCCTGGGCCGTGGGGTATGGCTCAAACCGGGGTTAGTGAAACTGTGGCATGAATTCGCGTATAAATTACATGGCATTGACAGGATTTATTCAGGCAATGTAACGAGCTTCTTAAAATACCTAGCGGGCCCTGTTAACGGTTTTATTCTATATATGATTTGATGGGAATAATCACTTTTTTATTATGCTTGTTACTGCTGAGAATGATTTCTCAAGTCAGAATTTAATAACCGGTCAGAACATTGCCAGACTTCTCCGCCGACTTGAAGGACATGATGTATGTGCGTAAATTCCGTTATGTTTTATGAACGGATGCTAATTACGCAAATCTAGAGACTACGCCCAGGAGGAGACCACATCAAGTAAGAGACCAAGTCAAGAAGAAGGTCCGGGCCAGGCAGAAGACCAAGCCAAGGAGAAGAAAACCAGGCTTCTTCGATATTCAAGGCTGTTTGTTGGTGCAGTAGTTCACAAACATTCAAAACGTGACCCAGACACACCTTTCGTGACCTCTACATTTACAAGCTTCCTAAAGATGCACTTATTTTCACTGACTTTACTTATATGTCTCATATGCTAATCGTAGCAGAAAACACGGTAAAAAATGGTTGTGGAAAAGGCAACAATTAATTATTATAAACAGTTACTAATTGTCAGTAATCATGACGACAGGGGAGTCTAGAAACCAGCTACTCAGAAGCAAGTGGGTGAAAAGAATTGAAGACTTTCAGGACGGTCTTGGGAAAACCGAAAACATATCGGTCCATAAATTGGAGCTACTGAGTTCAAGTCAATGAGCTCCAATGAAAGTTTTGCACTGCACCAGGAAGATCACCTACAGTATATCGAAAAGGATCACTGGCAACGGTCAGCTGTACGATCGCATTTTTTTAATATCTCAAAAATGCTCCTGAGCTCTTTTGCGATTGTTGATCAGAGTTTCTTGATCTCTTGTTACAGCTTCTGTGCAGAGATTTCTTCGACGACGACTTTTTTTCGAACGTTGGAATGAAGCAACATTTATGCATTTGAATTTTCCGAAAGAAAACTAGCTTGTTTGTGAAATCCTTGATGACATCGGCGACGACGAGCATCAACATGTGTAATCTGTGAGCTGCGAACGTGCCTGGTTGAGTCAGTTTGATGCATGAAGCTAGTCTGACGCGCTGGCGACATTTCAACTGCTCCCGATTGTCCTCAAACAACTATTCAATTTTATTTCCTAGAGCTGCTAGAAATAACTTCATTTCACTAAAAACTTTAATTGCACTAGTGAGGACATTGCGACTTGACAGATAATTTGCTACGTACAAATGAGAAGAACAAGTGGTTTTGTAGGCAGTAGGCTACCCATGTTTCGGCACGGAAAAATAACCTGGTATTGGGCTCTCCTTCGAATTAGGAAACGATTTGGATCTCATTTACCAAGGATGCTTTGAGAGCAGCAGAAAGCGTCTTGCAGACGAGAGCCTCACAGTGTACAAGGCAGTGTGTTTCTTGTGACGAAAAAGTTCTTATGCTGGTCCAGATTAATAAATCTTGACATGGAGGCTGGAGCCAAGCGAAATTGGAGCTCCCTCCCTGCAGAAACCAACTAACTTTGCCAACGAAAGTTGTTTGGGACCGTTATGAGAATTTGGACCGTTATGAGATATCTTTCATGCATTCAGCCCTTTTTATTGTCTATATATGTGTGTGTTACGTTCAAGGCCGCTCTCTTGGCTGACTCAGCAGCCAAGACGCTGGAACAAAACACTAGGGCCGCTTGTGAGTTTGAGCATCTCCGAGACTGACTGGAAAGTTTTACTGTCACCTGGATAGCTGAAAGTTCATACAGTGTGCCACTCAATGCCTCCAGAAATAGATTCACGACCCATTTGTCGTTAAAGACCAACACTTGCGGAATAACTGCTCTGTCGTAATAGTAAGCAATTGTTGCTGTTTGAAGTTATGAGTGCGATTTTATTATAAATTTATTGTTCGTTTGCCTCATTCACTCGCCGGTCGCCAGGTTCCGTTCGGCCACGTTGGCGTGGTGCGTGACTGGCTGGGAGTAACAGGAGAGGTTAGGAAGCCTTGCAACGAACATCCTAATCGCACAGTGCTTGGATTCTCCTGCCACCGAAGTGAGGTCGGAACTAATTTTTGGCTCAAGATAAGTTTATTTAATTGCTAATGAAACGTTTATGCGTCTTTTGTCATGGTATTTATGCTGAAGTATGTGTTAATCTTATGAGACGTTCTATGGAAGTATAATTTAAAGTTAATTAGTTTTAAAGTTGTACTTCTAAATTTTTACCTATTGCCTAGTAGATAATATTGTATGTACTACTTTGCAACCTTCGTTTAATGTGCTTCATTTTATCAGGTTAGCGGTGGTCGACTCTGGTCTTTGTTAAAGTTGCTTTGCTGTAACAATCCAAGCGTTCTTGCGAAATCAATTTTCCTCCATAACTACTGCCCTCTCCTCTACCTTACCTCCACCGGGACCAACGTTACTCCCGCAGACCTCAAGGTACGACGATCAGTTCTAACTTTAATTGATCGTGTGTGTTGACATAAGATCAGATTTGAGGGCACGTTTTCTTCACATTTACATGGACAAACGAAAAAACATTTATTTCAAAGGCTGCTTATCGCCGCCCCCTGGAGTCTCTGTGTGACGCGTCGCTGCACGATGTCGTGTCTCTGCTCGGCGTGACGGACATCTTGGCTGTGGGCAACTACGCTTGCAACGGCGCCCGTCGAGCGGTGGCTCAGCTTCCTGTGAAGGTGTTGTGCTTCAAAACCTGTCAGTGTCAATTAATCTGTCATAATTAATGATTAATTGAAATAGTATGACAATAATAATAACTGCAATAATAATTATTTGTGATAATTAATAATATGCCAGTTACAAGTATTATTACAATTATCACAAGTATTGGCGTAATTTGCCAGTATTACAATAGTGGGCATACGATAGTGGACAATATGTAAAGTATCCCTGATATAAAAGGCCGAATCACTTTCCATTTGAATAAAAAAGGCTTGTTTTTTTCACAATGTGCGACAAATATAACATATAAATATTACGAATAATTCAGAATCCTATTTTTATCTAGATAAAATAATCCACTGAATTAAATTTTAGCTCTCTCTTCCATTCTCATCCGTGTGTGTATTTTTCAGGTGCACAAACTGATGCATCCCAGTCCCCGCAACCCGCTGGCCAACATCGACTGGGAGAGCGCGGCGCTGCAGCAGCTTCGTCAGGCCGGTCTACTTGACCGCTTCCCGTACAACGGAGGTTCCTCCAACATCTCGTGATCTTGGAGGTTCTTAAGAATTTGGTGGTTCCTCCAACTTCTCGTGATCTTGGAGGTTCTTAAGAATTTGGTGGTTCCTCCAACTTCTCGTGATCTTGGAGGTTGTTTAGAATTTGGAGATTCCTCTAACTTTTTGTGATTTCGGATTTTCTAAAGAATTTGGAGGTTCTTTAAAATTCTTAGTGGCAAACAATTGATGATTTAGAAAGCAGTTCATTTTTTGATTCCTTTGAAAATTTAATACCTTATTATTACAGTTAGAAGCGTTAATCCATTATTATTAGAAAATTTAACACACTTCTACCTCTCCTATCGATATGAAAATTTGCACACTTGCGTGGATTCGGAGACAATGCATGAATCAATTGACAGATTAGATAATTTTGAAAATTTTAATTTTTATTAAATATGCTGCTAAAATTAGAAATTCATTGTACATTTTTAACAACGGAGACATTGCATTCTTTTGAAGTGTTGTCTTTAAAAAGTAATTTTTAAACGCATATTATTTTATCTTTATGTTTGATGATGCTGGTAGTATCCAAGATACTTTACTGCTCTACTAATAGGACTAAAGAAGGAAAGGGTCTGAAAAAGTCTCTGGTTTGCCACTATACTTTTGATCGAGAACCCCTTATGAGTACCACCATCTAATATTAAATATTAGCTGTTCATGTGGTATGGTTTTAAAGGGACGTAATTTAAATTAGTAGTATAAATTACTTAATTATGTCTATGTACAGTTAGAATTTAATATTGCGCCGTTAGTATCAACTGGGTGACGTGTGGCAACTTTTGCAAATCATCAGCAGATTATTCTGTATTTTATATTATTATCGTTATTAATTATCGTTATTAATTTCTTCTATTAGTCAATCCGTTTTTATTCGATTTAGTGCAGCCGATTTACCATCATATGAGAATAACATCTTTAGTTCATGTGAAACGAGACCGCTTACATAATTTGTGGTCGTTTTAGCTGCAGAAAAGAAAAATTTTGCGACTATTGAAGCATTGAAGTACATATAATTGCAGATTACTAGTTAATGGGATTGAATGAAGTATTCACGCTTTCAATATACTTTGGTTGATGATATATTAACTCATCTTATTTCTTCACATCAGGAAAAGCAGTTGAACGTCTACTCGTTCCCTACCTGCTAGCAAATTAGTTGCAACGATGGCTTGCATATTATCAGAGAAAGACGAAGCATTTATGCTCGCGGCTTTTGAAGAGGCACGGGAGGCACTACAGGCTGGAGAAGTACCGGTCGGTTGCGTGTTTGTACAACATGGCGTCATTATTGCCAGAGGCCGCAATACCGTCAATGCTACTCGCAATGCTACGCGGCACGCCGAGATAAATTGCATCGATGAAGTTTTAGCGTTGTCATCCCATTCTCTTCATGATAATTCGCATCAATTTTGTGCTTCTGGCGCGCAAGATGAAAAAGTTGATGGTCTACGCCATTCATCAACGGATATTTTCGAGTCGATTGACGTGTATGTGACCGTTGAACCTTGCGCCATGTGCACGGATGCTCTCGGGCAGCTGCGCGTTAGGAGCGTTACGTTCGGCTGTAGTAACGATAGGTTTGGAGGTTGTGGCTCAGTCGTCGATGTTCCCAGCATTTACAAATACGATTTCATGTTACGGAAAAATGTGTGTCAGGAAAAAGCAGTCCAGCTGCTAAAGGATTTTTACAAAGGAGAAAATCCAAATGCTCCGTCTGGGAAAGCGAAACGCAAGCTGCCAAGCTCTAAGACCTAAAATGAAGCTGTGGAAGGCAAGTCGCATTTAATTGCCATTGAACCTTCATATTTTAGCTTTTTCCGCTTATAGAGAAACTTTCCATGCTAAGCCATGATATGGTCTTATATTAAATCTTACTTTTACTGTTCCTTTGGTTCTCAAATTCACAATGAATATTTCAATCGGTGATGTTGCTGACTCATATATAGGACTAATTTTTCCCCTTAGCTTCAAGTCGAAGCCGAGTTCTATGCGATGAATACATAACTGGACTCAAATCTCTAAATTTCATTTTAACTTTTCAAATAGATATTGTCATTCGACATCGACAGAGCTCAAGACAATCATTGCTCTTCCTTATCTAGGTACGCAGATTGTCAACTCGTTTTCATTGCTGAGCGGAACTACTGATGAGTTAGGTTGTCGTGACAGCACCTCTTCGTTCACCTCTATTTTGTAAACGAAATTTTATGCTTGGGAAAACTCGAATTGATTTCTGAGTCATCTGTAGGCAGTTGATGAGAACTATTGTATTTTGGCATTTACGGCTGTTTGTTTATGCTTAAAAATTTCGTGTTCTGAAAAGATTGTCAAGTATGTAACGGTATATCGTTGCACACTCATGATTCAGTTGAATATTTGATGCGAAGTGTCGACGTTCAACGCTTACCGGCACTTTATAAAACTGCCGGATGTGTTGAGAGAGTCACATTTGTAACCATCTCGCGGAGCAATGTAATTTTCTTTTTTTCTCAAACCTCACAAGATACGAGTACATTGATAAGCAATTTTATAATGCGATTCGAATGTATGTACATTTTTATGACTATATTGAATCTTTTGCGCTTTTACATTAAATTAATTCGATTGATCTTCAAATATGATTATATAATCTTTGTTTTGCTATCAAGGTGTCTGAAATATAATTAAAATTTTCCAAGGTTTGCATGAGCATCCGTTGAACTTAAATGGTTTTATCTCGTTAGGCCTACCCAATTTTCCTGTACACTCTACATCATCTAATTAGGATTGAAATTGAGCGGTAATTTCACATTATCCATCAATATTATTTGCGAGTAGTGACGGATTCGTGTTTACAATTTCCACATACTTTTTAGGCTATTGTGTTCAGTGCGTTAAGTGAAGTACTCGTAGATATGGTAGAGGTTTTGATTGCACGGGAATTTACAATTCGTATGTATAAAAAGGAATTTGTTCAAGATACATCAGATAATGATCTGATAGGCTTTTGCATGAAGTTAATCGAGTGAATGGCTTCTGGAAATGCCTATCAGAATTTTCGATCGGATTTTCGATCTTCGATCTTTCAGATCGAAAAAAAACACAAAATTCCCTATTTTCGGGAATCAGAAGGTATTTCGAATTTCAAATTGTAATTTGAATAAAATGCTAGCTAATAAACTTGTCGGAATAACTGTTATGAGTGCATCGAGGCGGAAAAGTAAACCTTCAACCTTGTGAAGAACTTGCAACGGAATTTTCACCGTCCAAGGAATAGGCAAACTGAGGTTTTTGAAAAATCGAAGCGTCAGAGATATGATTACAATTTGGTTCTGGAGAAAATAAAATTGAAGTATAAAATAATGGTGAAAATTTATTTAACCTCTTGGTTTTTCGATACCAGACCAAATAAAATTTAATTGGCCTAACAAAAAGCTCTAACATCGATCTGCATGCAAGATGTCGGGGATGGACTGACTTTCCGTATTTAAGAGCTGGGGAACTCCATCCAAAGTCTTTCGAAGATAAACATTACCACCATTTAGCTGTTGTAGAAGAGTTGCTGTGTGAGGAATTTTGTGAAAAACATGAGATTATTATCAGAAAAAAACAAGCTACATAACATGTTTTTCAAGCTACAACAAGCTATGGAAAGATCGGGGTCCAAAGGCCGGATCCCTTGTGAATCAAGTCACGAAAAATTCAAGAATCGGCAACATGCCATGGGCCTATTTCTTCAACGCCGACACTTCTATTCTATTCTATACAGTGAAAAGATTAAGGTCGTCGCTTTTCATTGTATTGGCATTCGCCATGATGGGGTACCGTAATATGACGTAATGCGTTAACCGACGAATTATTGGCTTTATAATTAGTTCCTGTGATAATTTCAATTTCTTTAAGATAACTTCGTTTTGAAGGTTAAAGGGAGGTCAAGGTTAAAAGTTTCTCAATGTTAAAAATGGAACCAATATGGTGCATGTTGGCTGGTACGTTAGTCAAGGCCCAGGAGATGATGAGCCAGAGGAAAAAGCAGATTTATCGTACATGGACGATGAATATGACACCACTGCAAGTTTGAATGGATAATGAGTGTAGTATAGTAGTTTACTATAGTATAGTGATGTCGGCGCTGAAGAATAAAGAAGAGGCCTTGTGTGGCCTGTCGCCGATTCATATAATTTTCGTACTTGTTCACATGAGATCTAAAAACAGGTCCTTCGACCGGAACTTTTCAAAACTGCAGTTTTAAAGTATGAAAGCACAGCAAGTTTGAATGGAAAATGAGTAAAAGAACACCGCAGGTTCGGATGTGGATGAGTGAGAGGGAACCGCAGGATTGAATGGACATTGAGTAAGAGAGCACACTGGTATGAACTGGAAATGAGTTAGGTTAGACCACGTTGACATCGGAGATAAGTAAGATGGCAAATTTGGTTTGAATGAGCGACGAGGGAGAGAGCAACATATACATTATAGTAAGTATTTACTATTTATTTTAGTTGTTGGTTAGCCATAAAATATTTTCAAAAGTTCGAACACAGAAATGTATTGGGATACATTCTTAGACTATAGAAATGAACCCTAAAGTTTCACTGATGTGATGTAATTTAATTGCATTGCATAGATTGGTCAGACTTAATTATAGAAAGTTTAATATAACACATCAAACTAGGAATGACCTTTTTATGTGATCGTTCATACAAGAACCTGCAACAGAAACATTCTCGAGTTTGACATTGGGAACCATAAGAACATTTATTAACAGACAACATTCAGGATTTCTATTCCCAGGCTTGTGGGAGTGAAAATGGTTACTGTGAGCTCATGAGAGAATGTCTTGAATCATGAAGGACTTACTTCGTTTACTCTTATTTTTAATTCCTCCTGGACCACGATACTTTTGAGTTTCAAGTCCTTGTGGATTTGTTGCAAATTTCGTTTCAGAATCCTCTACCGCGTGTAAGTGTAAATTCTTGGAGTCACTGTTGTCGTAAAGATCTGTGGTCGGTTGATGATTGTAGGATATTTTATTGCAGTTCAGCAGTGACGAATGCCCCATTGTGCACGGTTTGTTAACGACACATGATGACCCCTGCAGTTGTGTCATATTGTGTTCTTCATTGCTGCCGAGAGTTGAATGTTGAACGAGCTGGAGTTGGTTTTCAGTTTCGCCACTTAATAATAGTTGTTGCACTTCGCAGTTATTGTTCAAAAGGCCTGATTGGACTGACTGCAGGATTGAGGCATTTTTAGCAGTCATGCTAGGAGATTTCCGATGCAATGCTTGATTCAATGCCTCGCTTTTATCATTCATTTGTTCCCCCTCAAATGTAGGAATGATCGTTGAATGCTTAAAAATTCGATTTTCTTGTGCACTGGCGGGATCATTAGCCTCGGGCAGCTTTTCTCTTTCCAAGGTTGATACGTTGGGTAGATTGAGATTAATGATATCATAAATTTTCATCGAATGCTGAGAGTTGGAAGAAGATGGGAGCGTCTTATTTTGAAAGAAACTCAATTCTGTACATTTTTCTTCAGATACATTTAAATTTTGGTGTGGATTTCCTGGTGTAGGCTGATATGAGCAAATATCGCCAGAAAGTTTGCAAGGAATGGTATTAATGGGTTTTAGGAATGTATTTTGCAAAAATGGATCTACGTACTCGCAGTTTGAGCTTGCAGTTTCGTTGTCCCAACGTGTTTGAAAGCCACGTAGAACGTTATCAAATTTGATCGAATTTCTGATGAAATCTCGGTCCTCGGTGTCAACATGATTGTCAAATTCCCCTTTGTACGCAGATAGTTCTTTTGGACCATGAATCCAACTTGTCGTCTGAGGACTCTTTGCAAAATAAGAGCTTCTAGAATTTGATATTAGCCCACTTAACGACGCATCAGCTTTTATCTGTCCGAGAACAGAACACGAAGAGCTTGAAATACCGTTACAGTTTGCTGGCTTCGCTTCCACGGATCTTCCACTGTTCGCCTCCACGGCATTTTGACTTGGAAAACTATCACCTATTTTCGACATATTTCCCGTTTCCTGAGTTTGTCGGGAAATTTTTGGTAAATGAATTGAGCCGAACGAGGTGGGTTCTGACAGTAGGCGCACATGCGCCAAGGATCGTAGGATTCTGTTGACGGAGGATATCGAGGGAAGGTGGCGGTCGCTGCAGACGCCATCACACAAGAGGCGGCGGCGGATCTCCCACGCAAAGATGCTCGGGTTGTCCTGCTTGTAGCGCTGGATGCTTAGCACTACTTCGGGTGTTGACACGCGTGGTTTGCTGCCACCTTCATAGAAGATTTAGACGAAATGCTTAATTTTTTATGGTAAACACGGGGTGGTGGTCAGGGTAAAAGCAATTGTACCCAAAACTCCCTATGGTCGATATAAAGATCAAAACACCTATCTTTTATGTTTTCGGGCAATGTTATTTGTTTACATTTAAATATTTCAACATCGGAAGTCATCTGACTCAAATTAAATGTCGAATAAGACAAATTGTCGCTGTTTGAGGGTTTGTAACGCTAAACAATAGTTAATGTTTTCATAGTATTTCTTCAGCGTGCATCTTACGACAGTTTACCTATTCAACAAATGTTTTTTCTTCTTTTTGGAAGCATATTTTTTACCTTCGAACGTCAAGTTATTAGAACTACACTAAGAATATTTCATCACTCACCTATAGTGCCTGGCAAGATGGACCCAGTCTCTGAGAAGCGTGCCAGTATCTTAGATACGCAGCCGTGAGATACAAGCAAGTGCCGTGATATGTCGCAGGGTCGGTAACCGAGCACCGCGAGCTGCAGGATGCGCATACGTGTCACTGCAGGCAGAGGGCGGCCATTGGCATAGCGTCCTCCTAATTGGTTGACGCCACCAGGATGTATTTCTGGCTGGGTGGTGGCTGGCCTCATCTACGCGTCGGGTATATTTTTAAGAAGAGAAACATGGACAAATATTACACAAGGAACAGTCATAAAATAAACAAATTCATGTGACTGGTAACATTGAAAATAGAGGTTTTATTGTGCTTATTATCATCGCTGGAATGACGGATAAGATGGAAAAGTAGGCTTCTGGAAATGAGTAATCTTCAATACGTTTTTATTGAATGATGCTGTTACGTGTTTCCCAATTAAAAAAAATTAGCATAAACTGACACAAATTTTGTCTACAGAGAATAGGAAATCTAGACAATAGCGAATATAAATCTTTCCATTGTGCGAGGAAAAAAATTACTTAGACTTAAAGGGTGAATTCAATCTCTTCAAAAGAAATGAATTAAAATGACAATCTAAATGACACGAAAGCGCAGGCAATTTTTATTACACCTTTAAATGAATGGCCCATAACGTGTGCATAATGTGATTGACGCAACTACTCATTCCAGGCATTAGAAAGGCAATTTTAGGCTAATATTTCGTGGAAAAATTAGTCTTTCGATTAAAAATTCCTTGTTTGCGATCTATTTATCATTGTGAATATGAAATCGTGGCGATTGACAAAGAAATTACTTGAAAACTCCTATTTGCAATGGGCGAATAACTCGAGATTAATGTATTTTAAAATTATGAAAGTTGAATTTCTGGTTCACTGCAAAGTTTTTATACGATTTTTATAATATCATCCTACGGCCGCTTCGAAGACGAACGTTTCCGCAAGAATTACTAAAGTGAAAAATGCGAGACACGAATTTTTTTGGGCATTTATAGATTCGCTTATGGATAATGGAGTAATGAAATGTTCGCACTTGTAAATTAATTTTACGTGAATAGCCAAGGAATTTTCAATCTTTACACCCTTTCAACTACATAGTTTCGACACAGAAATACTAGCACGTTTTGGAGTAAATGAATTGTTAGTTTGAAAACCCGCAGATTTGTTTTTCCCATTTGCGATAATAAAAGTTATATCTGAAATATATCGCTTGTGAACGATTGAAAAATTGTTAAGGACTTGTTCAGTGAAGGATAAACCACATTCAGTAATTTAGTGATTATATCTTAATATAATTACTAATTACTATAATTACTAATATATAATTACTTGTATATCTCGGGGTGTAATTTTTAAGATTACAGATCATTGTCATCCCCGGTGTCGCCGGCCTCACAGAATTTCCCCTATAACATTGAAGTATGAAGCTGTTACAACTGAGATTTTGACGTGACTAAATTTACGAGAACACCGTTATTTTTCACTAAAAAAATATTTTGCGACATTTATATTGTAACTGCCTAAATTATAGCTCGTGTTGTTTTTTAATTCTGTTGTGTTAGCATGAAAGCATCTATTCTAATACGAAGTATGCCTTACTTGTTCTTCCACTGAAGTCGTTCCCGCTTGCAAAGCATGACACTTCGCTTGAACGTTCACTACGACAAAAGAACATAAGTTGATTTACGTCCCTTTTATATCCGCTGATAGAAGGTCTCAAAGTCATGGCTTGATTTCTTCACGAACTGGAGTTTTGTAGGCCCTCGGATTTGTCGCTTGTTGAGGGAGGAGGGTACGAGACTCCGCCTACAGGCCTCGGGAGATCTCGAGATAGAGGGCTGTGGTCTTGATGTGGTCCGTTAATTTTTTTGTGAATATTTCGATAAAATAATGAAAACACTTCAATTTGCAATTATTCAAATACGTTTCGTTAGCCAATCTGCATTTGGTTTCCTTTTGAGGCATTTCCCTGACGTACGAATGCAACGGGATTTAATTTGTGCTTATTGCTGCATTCGGTTTCGTGGCTGTGATTAGTGAAACCGAAATACGTCTGATGAAACTGAGTGACCCATTTAAAGAATATACAAACTGTCTATGATTTCGAGATGCAAGTCGGGAAATATCGAGAATTTTGCCTAATTCTACAGGAGTTTTGAATCTACTGTCCAACTTGCCGGACGTTTGAGACAGTCAAACGACCGTAAAATTTAAGATTGATGCCATCGGTCAGCGAAGTTGAGCGCAGAGCTGCGAAGCGGCAAAGCTCGAGGTTTCGCCTTTGAATTTTGATGTAGTTCTGATGAACAGCGATGGAAAATAGGAACAGTCGTGATGTGGCTTTCAATTTGTCGGAGGACATGGCGCAAAATTTTTAAAACTACATTAGTCACATTTTGCAATAGCTTTCCGTAATTTAATCATTTCTGAGCAGGAATAAAGAAGATATTAATTTCATGTTCGATTCTAATTGAAATCATCTATACATTATCAATATCGTGCAAAATCTTTGTGCTATTGAAAAAAAAACTTGACGAAAAGTTAGTTACTTCAACACCTTTCTAACATATTTCGAGTAAACGTACTAAATTGATTGCGTGATCACCGATAGATCAGACAGAAAACATGATTACCAACACCACGAAGGTTGTTATTGTGAGGGCAAGCGAGCGAGACTTAATACGGATGATCGGAGCCAAATTCTCAGAGGCAATCAACTCTTCAGCTGCCACTCCTCCCACAGCTTCTTTCTATGCGCTTCTTTTCTTAAGGAAATGGTTAGGTAGTAATGATAATTCTTGTGGATTTGTAACTTGAACAAACTTTTTTGTAACGTTACGGAACAAGTATCTTGGATCTATTATCTCCCACCAAGAATCTCTAACCATCTTCATACTGCGCTTTTTCGTTAAATCAGTGAAATTTTTCGTTAGGGGCTATGTTACGAATATGAGATCGTGAGAAAAGGATCAGGGAGAAGATAACAATTATAATAATAATAATATGTTAATAATAACATTAACGATATTTTCAAATATAGGAAATATTAATTAACTTAATTATACAAATAAGAAATTCAATTCGAAGTAATAAATTATCCTCGAAGTTCGTAATTCCGTGAGCCGCGTCAGTTTTATGGCTTCACTTTTTGGCGAAGGACTTCTTTTCTTTAGTGATCACAGAGCCCAGGCGACACCCGCATAAAAGTCTTGTTTGGCAAGTTTAGCTTCTCAGTCCGCCTTGCTCTCCTCGGCAAACCGTTTCTCCACACAGAAGAAGAACTTTAAATGCTCAGAAAGGCGATACGTTTGCTGAACTATTTACCTTTCGAGGGATGCTTCGAGTATCTTACGCTGAATTCGTTACGCAAGTTAAAATATCTGTCTTGTGAATAAAAGTTCATAATATAAGCATACATGACTCGATAAAGTTTTTATTTATATTCATTCTAGCTCATTATGAATTGTTAGGAAGAATTTCTATTAATTTTTTAGAAGTTTTTCATAAATTTATAATGCCGAAAAAATTGTTGTGTAGGATTGAAAAAACTGTAAGCGTCACTGGCGTAGTGGGATTTTGAAAAAATAAGAAAAAGTCAACTGTTATTCATCAATTTAATTGTCACGATGGCACAAAAATAAATAATAAAAAATAAACTGTTTTTTCAATGCAGAAAATATTCCTAGAAAAATTGTATAAATTTTTTATACATTTTTTGAAAAAAAAAATAAAATTTTATGCAAAATTTGCCAATGCAGAAAATTTGACTTTTAAACCAAATTAAATATTTTAAGTCTTTTCTCTTTATGCACATCAAAAGTTATCAATTTGCTATAGAGTTTAGTGGGTACGTTTGAAATTAAATTTGAAGTTGACTGCGAAGAATTTTTGTTCAGTCTACTTGTGTATATCTCATGCTGACGCAGCGTGTTCATGCTGACGCAGCGTGTTCATGCTGACGCTGCGTGTTCATGCTGGCGCAGCGTGTTCATGCTGGTGCAGCGTGTTCATGCTGGCGCTGTGTGTTCATGCTGGTGCAGCGTGTTCATGCTGGCGCTGTGTGTTCATGCTGGTGCAGCGTGTTCATGCTGGCGCTGTGTGTTCATGCTGACGCAGCGTGTTCATGCTGACGTAGCGTGCTCATGCTGACGCTGCGTGTTCATGCTGATGCAGCGTGTTCATTCTGAGCCAGCATTTGTGAAACGCCAACTTACCTGAGCCGTTGAATGGGCCTGAATCAGTAGCTATTAAGATCTAACTCATTGACAATACGTTAATTTAGCAACACAGGTGAACATTTTGCCAACACAGGTGAACGTCAACATTTCTGTTGATGTTTGCATGCTATTTGCCGATAACATTCTTCTCAAGATAGTCGTGTAATCTGATTCAGTTGTCATAATTCTGGTGCGATTTCACCAAGTTATTTTAATGCTTCTCTTCGACTCTAGTTTTAATTAGTGCAATTCAATTTGGAAGTAATTGGATTTACAATAATCTATGTTCTAACTTTCGTTAGTTTTGAATTATGATTTAGTTTCACCTTTAACAATGAACTGAAGAAATGCCTTCCGTCAGAGTATTATAGTATATAATGTAGTATGACCCTGCATTCATACTCAGTATATTCTAGGCATTCATGTGCATGTTGCGATGCTAATCAGAATTTAATTGTTTCGTTGTGATTTACTATATCCTATTATGATACAAAGATTGTTATTAATTTAGGATACATTTTATTTTAGATGGAATTGTTAGTAACATGAAGAAGCAGCTAACATTGTTCCCCATTGTGTTCACTCGTCATGTTGCCATGCAGGCTTTTTCATTACTTTGCATAACATTGAATATAAAATGAACTCAGGGAATAATAACATTTCAAATTCCCAAATTAACTAGGGTATATTGGCGGATTGTGTCATGAGTATTTGTGTACCTCCAAAAATCCGTTTTCTACTAAGCTCTGAACAGTTGAAGAAAATACACAAGTTTATGGCGTACTGAAAAATAAACTGTGCTCATATGCATAACGAAAATTACGGTGGAAAATGTAAAAAATTCAATACGAAATAAGCTTAATCAATCAACCGTTCGTGCGAAGTAATACAAATAGATTGTTCCGTGAATTCCACGATTTTTTTTCTCATTTGCGCATTTATGGAAAAAATGCACTATTGTGCTCGCCATGTCTGTCTGT